CTGTGTATTCCAGATCTCAACTGTCTTTCATTGTTTTAACTATTATTTATATCTTTTATTACCAATTACCTTCATGTGTCAATATCTCGTTTCCTGCACCTAGTTATAAGACTCTTTCATGGTAAATACTGAGTCTTACAAATGAAGCTTACTAGCTAGCACAGCACCTGGTTTAGGGTGTTCAGTACATATTTGTTGTTTTCATCTGTGATTAATCTCACTTATCTTTCTCGCATACCGGTTATTTCCTAAACAGTGATTAATTCATTAAGAAGGTGTTTCTTCGGACCTAGATGCTGGGAATGTGGATAGAAGGCATGGTTTCTGACCTCAGAGAGCTCATATGTGGACAAGCAACAAGGATGTATGTGTGGGAGGCTATGGCAGCACCAAAGGGGGCAGTTCTGGGTCGAGGTAGGTTGGGGGACCCAGAAAAGTCTTCCAGAAAATGGGAGTCCCTTTCAGGATTATATAGTTGCTACCTAAATATTATAGCCCATTTGTACAAAGTCATGTTGGTGAGCCTGTGCAAACATGGAGCATTTGGGTTCCAAGTCATTCGTGTTTCAGGATGTCTAGCTAAAAAGCTCAACCTATTCCCAACGTCGTCCACTAGGGTCGGGAAAGAAATGGGTATGAAATCACAGGCCCTTTCCCCTTGGCAAGCAGGCTCTGAGAGTGTTCAGATGCAACTCAGGGTAACTGTGGCTTCATAACAATCAAAGCTGATTGATGGGAGGAGGCTCTCTGTGTTCATGTGTTTAGTCTATCCATGCTTTTAGTTCCACTGTGGCTGTGCTTCCTAATGGAAATGCATTTCTCTCTCTCACCATTACCCAGATATAGATGCTCTCGGATATGAAAGAACTTTTACCTCAAGTTTTTGTCTTGTAAGGCATCCCTAATTCAGGAAGGAAATGAGGAGGAGTCGACCAAAAAAACCCACCACAAATGTTTTGTCAGGTAGTTCAAAGAGAGAAAGTTAAAGAACTCATTTTCTGTATGGTTTCTTACGCAGTCTGGTTCAAGGAATTAGCTTTCTCTCGTCAAGGGCTGTAACCACCAGAAAATAAAATAAATGTTAATTTTTGCCCTCTGCCCCTGCTGTTTATTGTCGTTGTTTCTGTTTATTTTGTTTTGCTTTAGAAAATTACAACTGACAGAATAAAAATCTTCCATCCAGGGTCCTGTCGATATTACCATATCAATTTTGACAAATCCACTGTGATATGTGAATGATTCCTTTTCTACAAGTGTGGAATCTGAGGCTGACAGAAATAAAGGAGCACATCCAAGGCTACCTACCATGTCTGATTCCAAGGTTGAGGGCTCCTACCAACACCCAACAGCTTCTAGACCTGACATACACATGTATGTCAAAACGCATGACAAACAGTCATCCATGTTCTGAGGTAGAAAAGGTAGAAATTGAGCACCAATCTCTCTTGTAGAAGGAGGAATTAGAAGCCTATCAGCCTATGCAGGTGGAGGGTTGAAGCAAAGGAAAGTGAACCCTCATGGGAACACTCACGGGAAACCTCAGATTCTGAGGTTGCTTTCAAATAATCGTTTTCTCCTCACAGATTGGCAGCTTGTCCTGTGCTACAAAACGACACTATGTTGGGCCAAACATGATCTCTCCATCTTTGATGACTTCTGAATGCCAAGCTGAAAAAGCAGTTCATGCCCCAAATGGAATGTCCAAATGCCAATGTGGGGCATTATCTTTGAAATGCTCTGTGACCATGGTGATGCCACTGACCTTCTCTGAACCTCTCCTGATCTGCAGAGGCTGACTTTACAGGGGCACCAGGGAAGACTGGAGCTTCCCAGGGAGTCTTGTAAATCCGTGTTTTTCTCTCCTATGGAAGAGCAAAGTAGGAGGAGGAAGGTAAAGGGGATACTTAGAAAAGGAAGGGAAAAGTAGCTCTAACCTTTTGGAAGGGCCATGCTAGAAGGCGGACACATCCTGCTATTGAATGCAAAATAGGAGGAAAAAAAAACATTTTGTGCTAAGAACCTGACATCCAGAAGTGGTCCTGGAGCCTTCCGTGAAGACACACATTAAGACCATCCAATCCTGGAACCTTCCGCATAAGCAATTTTTCCTACCCCATACCTAGCAGTGTTTCCAAATGCCTCAGTTCATGGCCAAATCCTCAAAACAAAGTAGATCTTAATTCACTTTTGTTTAATAATTAAACCAAAAGCATCTTAAAACTTTCAGGAAAGTGGGAGTAGGGTATGAAAAGGGACTAGGAAGCAAAATAATATCTGGATGTTGACTCTGCCAAAGCTGCACATCCTTGCTAGATGAGCGTGGGGATGGGGCATTATTCTAAGACACAGCAAGTGTTTTATCTACAACTGACAAATCCCAAATCCTCCCAGCTTCCGTTTCTCCCTTAAGACCTGGGTCACGGTATTTATTTACTTAAATGATGGAGATGAAGGCAGGCTTAAAGCTGGCCACCTGTCAGAATAACAGTGACCTGTTTCTTAAAGGGATTTCAGCAACCTCCCAACATAAGACAAAAGGGAATTGTGTGGAAAACATATAGAAAAGAGCTCACTAATTGCGCTAAAAGAGGATGGTAAGGTGGAGTGGAAAGACTGTAAGGGCAGAGAGATGCTGTCAGAACTAAGCAGATCTGTGGGTGTCCTACCAGGCAACCTGAAAGAGTAGAAATCCCCTTCTCTTTGGAGATTAGAAGTGATTTTGCAAAGTATGATAGCCAACTGGGAAGTTAGGCTCCCTTATCACCTCTCATTAATGCCCTTGGGCTTCTCCCTATCCTTATGAAGAGAGGCGTGTTACAGTTCCTAAGCAATGCAAACAAACTTTCTCAGAAACAATACCACTTCTGCTTTCGAGGCTGGAGAGTCAACAGATAGAATCCTGCCTGAAGGCCAGGCAAGGTGGCTCAGGCCAGTAATGAGGCAGGCGATCACCTCAGCTCAGGAGTTAGAAACCGGCCTGGGCAACATAGGGAAACCCTTTCTCTACAAAATTAGCTGGACGCAGTGGCGCAGGCCTGTAGTCTCAGCCACTCAGAAGGCAGAGGCAGGATAATTGCTTGAGCCCAGGGGGTGGAGGTTGCAGTGAGCTGGGATTGTGCCACTGCACTCCAGCCTAGGCGACACAGCAAGGCTCTCTGTCTTAATCTTTCTCACACGCACCCCCCCAAAAAAGGGGGGGGTACAGAATCCTGCCTGGAAAATCTAAAGACAAAGCATGGATGACATTCTTTAACAAACACATGTGAACCACTTGCTAGATATCAGGCAGTGATCTCCAACAATGATCTTGTGTGGCACTTAGAACAACTTCCTCCTCCTCATCACTCCCATTTTACAGAGAAAGTGAGCACCCAGGCGAAGCACTAGTCCGAGAAGAGGCCAGTATGTGGACAGGCACACTGTCCCAAGGGTCTGGGCTCTTATCCACTGTTCTGTGCTGAGCCTCAGCACAGAGGATGTGGTGTTTCAGCGAGCTGCTACCTGAGGAATAGGATATATCCCCAGGCTTGTGCCAGTCTTTTATCAGCTCTTAGAGGGTAACAACTTATCCAGTCCATACACAGAATGATTAAAAGGGCATGGGCTATGGATGGATCTGCTTGTGAACCTTCCATTTTCCTAGGGCAAGTTATTTAATTTTGGTACATCTTACTTTCCTATCTGTAAAGCGGGGCTAATGTGACCTTACCCAGGTTTCTGTGAAGATTAGAAACAAAGTACACAGCCTGCTCAACAGATTGCCTGGTGATGGAAGGATAGGAAGTGCCTAATTTGTAAGCACTGTTGAATATTTACTTGTTTTAAGGCCCAGTGGAGAAAGCTCCGGGCATCTGGACAGTGATTACGAATCCCTCAGAGGCAGTTCCTGCATATGAAATGGTAGACTGGCTGAAGAAAGCTTTATCCACAAACGAGTCTGCTTTCTAGATTTAGCACATGTGGTAGCTCCCTGCTTCCACAAAATGGAAAGCAATTTTAGTAAGTGCTTAGTTCAATTAGTTTGTGTCCAGACAAAACTCTCAAGGGCTGTGCATACACAATTGTCATCATGATTACCCACGCACATCTGGAAGGCTTGTTTTTCCAGAAGCCAGAGGCCTAAGCCTAGCTTCTGGTATAAGAACCAGGCGAAATTTCCATTCAGTAGTCTACCACTCACTCCAACTCCTTAGGAAGGGGCTTGAAGTCAATGTATGCTTCTACTGGTGTAGAAGGTCAAAGAAGGGTTGTTCACTTGTCATAGTACCTCTTTTGGTCCATGTTAGCTACCATGGCCATGAGCTCCTTCAGGGAAGCCCATGGGAAGCTCAAGCATCTGCTCTACAAGCTTGGACCCAAATGTCCATCACACCCTAGAGTGACATCCAAAATAGTTAGTAACTTAACAACTACAGCATACCAAGATGGTTATATGTGAATCTGAGTGGGAATTCTGGCCTAGAACATTCTCTCAATCCTGCTGGTACTGAAATCAAGAATTCCTTTCAAGAATTGCACCAAAGGATCCACAATGGTAGGAAGGAAGGAACATATATCCAGAATACAATCCAATGAGCCCTGGAACATAAGACTTTGGGGATGCATTGCAGATTCAAGATTATGCTGTTTTTCTTCAGTGGTTTTCCCGTGTGATGTCTTTTATATTTTTCCTGGTTTATGGCACCCTACTCCCTTCTCCCTCTCGGTTGCCATTTTCCAACCAACCATTCTGTGGGTAGGCATCATTAAAAAACTGGTGAGGAGATGGTGACTGCTCTTGGGGAAAATGAGAATGTGTAGTGATTACTCTGTCATCAACTGTTTCCCAAAACTCACTATCACAAACTTGCCCAAAATACATCCACAGCCTTAACCACAGTTTCTGCATTCCTGTAGAAATTACAACAGCCAAAGATGAAACCTAAGGCAAGATAGATGACAGCGTGATGGAAGGAAAGAGTATACTGAGTGCCTTATCGATCTACCTGCCAGCCTGTGAATGGTGGGTAATAAAAATTTATTGAAAATTAGGGGAAAATCACTTATTCTAATTCTTCTGAAAGGCATTACTGATGTAGCATATGAATAAATCCTTCCTTCCCCAGGAAAAAACTACCAACCTCCCACCAGCCAACCCTCCAAACAGCGCAAATTTAAAAATCTTGCAATTTTATTTGCATATAAAGGCCGCTAGATATAGAATATCACAATAAATTTAAAGAAACAACTGCTTTCCTAAATTTCATTAACAAGGTAACATAAAATAGAATAAAGCTCAACAGCATTTACAATGGGAAAACAGAAATGACTATTAGCGACAATATTTTGTGCTAGCGAAGATTGCATCGACACACAGTGCAAAATGGGAGGGGGAGAGGAAGTAAGAAGACAATTCAGGGTATTTAAATAGAAAGGACAACTAAGCCTTATTTTAGTTAGCTTCCATTGCATCCATTTAAGTCTATACACGCCTGTAACTGTACCTAGATTTAACTCAAGCTCTTTAAGATCTTGAGTTCTGAGAAAATATGTCAGTTCCTTCCGACTTCTGATGTGCTGCTATACAGCATCCCTTTGCAGTTGTACTGTCCTTGGCAATATTAAACTCCTAACATAGTCATAATACACAAAAAATACTTATATATATAAACCCATATTGAAAAGGAGTCTGTATGTTCATTTTTTTTAACCGTATGAAATACCTGCTCTTGATAGATTCCATTTCTGTATTTTTAAAGCTAAAATAATTTAAAAGAAACAAACAAACAATGAGACCTTGTATAACCACAACAGGAATCTCACTAGCTACACCATCCTTTAAATGATGGCCATTTTCTTCTTAATGCAGCTTTCTTTATAGTGAGAGTGTGAAGAGAAGTCTTTTCCATGCCTACTTCTGTTGAGAAGATTGCTATAAATCGGGACCACATCTGCAAAGAAAAAGCATTACCAAGAAAACAACAACAAAACATCAAAAATTAAAATATTTCAAACAATACTCTTAAACAGTTGTGCAAATCCGGGTTGGTTTTTAAAACACTGCCTACCTGTTTCTTATTTTTTTTTCTTTCAGCTTAAAGCATATTAAAATAAGACTTTTATCACTTTTTAAAAGAAAGCTTGGCTGTCCTTTGGCGAACACTAACAATTTACAATGGCATGGCCTTTGAGAAAACAGAAGTCATTTTACAAATTCACAATGTTCCTCTGATTTCAGATGGATGCCCCATTTAAAATAAAATAAAATAAAGAAGAAGCACAACCTCTAGCATCATTTGTGTTCCAACAATTTACAAAAAGAACTCACAGGGTTTGGAAATAAGTAAGTGAATGTAAGTTATAATTAGAAAAATGGCAGTTTATAGACCTTCCCTCACATTCCAATAGGGCATTTAGAGCTTCAGGAGCCCTGTGGGTTTGGAAGGTCAAATATAATGGGAGGGTTGGTTGGTTGAAAGCTGACTGTACACGTCGAGGCATTGATGTACGTCGTGTAACCGTCGGTCATGATGCCATAACCTGTGGAGAGAGAGTGTCACATTTACTGTAATATATACAAATGAGAGTGATGGAATGTAGGACTGTCAGACAAGGAAAACAATTTTTGTCAGTGGGCAGTGAGATGAAATTCAATAGAGCCTCCTCAGATATAATGACTTTCAGAAGCTACTGCCCAATTTTATTCTATTTTCTTTAAATGAGAGAATCCACTCCTTTAACTAAGAATGATTATTTTTTTTCTTTATTTAAATACCAAACTTGTTGAAAAAGGGCTGTAATTCCTTTACTAGGGAGAATAAAGAAAAAATATTTTATTTCCTCCTTTTAAAAGAGGATTTTCATTTCAAAGCCTTGTGTTAACTATTGAGTTCTAGGGAATAAAATGAGTAATATAAGGACTACTCCTCAGCGGCAAACACAACCAAATTCCAAGTGGGATAGGCGGCAGGTGAGAGGGAAAGGATACTGCATTAGGAGTTAAGAAACAGTTTACTTATTTAGGAAATAATCTCTTAACTGCCTTTATGAAAGTTAACCATACATGATTTTTGAATTGTGTGGCTTTATTACTAAGTTCCCTTTCATTCAAAAGTGTCAGCTAGTCACATGTCTAAGTGATGGGTAGAAACATCACCCTGGGACGCTGTTTCCTCAGCTTACCTAGATACTAGATCAAGCGAAAACACATCCCATATGGAATATAAACCTTTTGTGATTTACTGGAGAAAGCTGTTTCCCTAGGTCTTTGGTGTATATGGTCCTTGGATAATTTTCAATATGTTAAAATGTTTGGCATGTTTGCAAGTTTGCACATTTCCCTGAATATCTTATATTTGCCTTATAGCCTCTTCAACTAAGATTGTAATTCTATGCTGGTATCAGGCTCTTATGGCATATAAAAATATAGCTGTGAAAAAAATAAAACCACCAAGATGTATGGAAGTAACTGAAAAGGCTTTTTTTCCACATTTGCTAAAAATTTCTCCAAGTAGGCCTGTGGAGAGCTTAATGAGGGTCAATGGAAAAATCTCTTAAGAAAAGAAAAGAGGCATTTAAAATTTGCGCTGTTTAGTTCTGGGGTCATAAAGTCTTGTTATCTCTCTCCATCAAGAGGTTGGTATTTGCCCTCTTCCTGCCCTCTTCAGCTGTCTTAAGTGAATAAAAGTGAGACAAGTTTATTTGAATACGATCTCCTCTCTTTTAGGCAAGTTTATTATTTTGGGACTTCAGTAGAATTCCTCAATTGTTTGGCTAGTTTAAAGGTAATTAATGATTTTTTTAGAAAAGATAAAATGCAAACTCATAGGCATGCTGCAAGAATTCAGACCCATTTTCAGAATAACAGTCCCCTAGAAATGTTGCTTAGTTTAGAAATGAGGTCCCACCTCTCTGGTCTCCCATTCAGGTGTTCCCTTCATCATACCTTAGGGCAGTGCCCTCCTCTTCAGGGAGCACAGCTCAAATCCAGGGCAGGCTGACATCCACTCTCTGAGAGCTGCACCCTGCTTTCCATCCACTCAGTTGGTACCTGCACTTGGAGCAAGCTGAATTTTCTCTGGCCTCAGTAGGATGATTTTCAATATGCTCTTTATTACCTGCCTAACCAGGAAGCTACTGGATTTGCGGGCTTTGAAAAAGCAAACTTTGTTTTTGCTTCCTCAGGCACAGAGCCTTAAACACCTCAACTTGAATGCAGATTCATAAATAACTCCAGAGAGCCGCTATAAGCAGGAGCTGGAGAGAATATAGTAGCTGCCCACGTAAACATGGCCACTGCACACAGCGAGTGTAACTGGGAGAGTCTGGTAGGGACAGAAATCCTCAGGCTCGCTGAAAGAGGGCTTTGTGTCTGTCCCAAAGTCCAGTTACCCCTAATTTGAAAAAGGCAGCTCAGAGAAAACCCAGATCCCTGAAGTTTCCTGTGAGACTTTCAGTTTTGTGAACCTGGCTCAGCTTACCTTGAAAGGCAGAAAAATGGCAACTGGACCAGTTCCCATTTAAGAGAGATTTAATTATTCTGCTTAACCTCAGCCTGAGCTAATAGCTCTGATGATTTCTGAGAAGTCTGATATAGTTTTCTGAGGTTAGTAAGGAAATGTCTTCCTGCAAATGTGTGGGTTCCCGCCACTTCTGTTACATTATCTTTCATTGGATGTCTCAGCTACTTTTCAGAGACTACCTTGTCTTCCTGAGTCTTTGTGTTAATTCCATATGAAACACAATATTTACAGGTAGGAGGGGACTACAGAGGCTTAAAATAGCTTCTAATATCCAGGCCATTTCTTCTAACTCTCTTAAGGAGAAAATGACTCCTTGTGTACCTCAGGGTTGTTCTAAAGCAGTGGTTATCAAACATTCCTCGTTAAAGCCCTGAGATTTCAGAAGCTGCCGGGGGAGTGCTGGGTTTGCAGTAAAGTAGACCAGACGTGGTTCCTACTTTCCACTCTCCTTACAAGAGAGAAGGTCTATATAAAATATTTATCAGCTTTATATGCAGATGTTTCTCATAAGAGTTCATCTTATAAAAGGCTCCCGCTGCTAAAAAGTTTGAAAACAATGACTCCAGTTAATCCTAGTTGTAGACTGAGTTGGGAATAGTGACATGGCATGTTTTGAATTCTTTCTGCTGTTCTTACCTTCATGGATTCCACCAAACACGTGGAGCTTGGGCCGGACTCGCCTCTGAACCGTGTTTAACAGCTCCACACAGCCCACTCTTTGAAGCTCCTTTGGAACCCAGTCTCGGAAACCTAAGGGCAAAATGCAATCAATACGCTTAATTTTCTTTCTTCAGGTAAGGTTTCATTTAGACTTTCAGGAAGCCATAACTCACAGAAGGTTTATTACATTATCTGTAATCCTAGCTTCTCCATTAAAGCTCACAATGGCTTTTAAGAAACTTTTCACTCGTCACTTCGTCTTCTTTAGGTTCTTGAATTTTTTTTTTTTTTTTGCTTTCCATTTTTTTCTTCCTGTTAATTAACTTTTTTTTTTTTTTTCTGTAAGAGATTTGATTTATTCAGCGATGGGTTTCAAATCTTCTTCATGAGCTCAATGACATTTATTCCCGGCAGTCCCATAATATCTCTTTCTCCCTCAATTCAGTTACTTTCTCTTTGTTGCATCTTTCTTATAGCAGTTTACTTCTAAGATGGTTCAAAGAAGAAGGACCAGGAGGGGCTGCCTGTAAACTGGTCATGAGATACCTGGCTCTCTTTAGGTACACTAACTTTTACCCCTTGTGGTTCCCGATGACCAAAGCTTTGGAAAGCCAGTTTGTTCCTGCGGTCCCGTCCTCTCCAGCTACAGGCAACAATGTGACCTCATGGTGGCATCCAGCAAGCTGGGGCTAATTGACTACTTTTAAAGTAAAAGCCACTTAGTTCTACACTTAATGCAGAAAATCCATAAAAACTGACATCAATTATAGCAAAAGTCAGCTATCTGGATGGTTATGGCCTGGAATTGGAATCCATACGCCTCAGCAGGATAGGGCATAAAAAGGCAGGTAGGATGAAAGGCTAAATCGTAATCTCTGGAAATCCATTCCACAGAGCCATTAGGTTATTTCTATTATTTAGAAATAACAGGGCAGTAAGGAACAGCTTTCTGCTTTGTTGGGCCAAACTGCAGACGTGAATGTTTAGTGTCTCTATAAAGACACATTTGCTGGGGGGTGAGGAATGACCAGAGAGTCTGAGAACACATGAAAATTGGGGCCCTAGCAAAAATCTACCCAGCATTTTCAAAACTTTTTCAATGGGGGAAAACCTTAGTCTACATTGATTGGCATATTACCTCATGCATGTGTTTTTCCTGAAGGAGGAAAATACTTCATTGCATATGCAAACATCTGAGAAAGCATCTTGCTCGTACCATAACAGTGAAGTCCCATGGCACTGTGACTCCCCTCACCAGTAGGAAAAAATTCAAGGCCAGTCTCTCCACTCCCCTCTCCAAAGTTGTGTTTTCACAAGAATCTCAATAGCTGTATTAACTAAGGTTCAATGTTACCTTATTAAAACTTTGCCTGACCTTTTATTTGGGAAGTCCTTGACGTAGCTCTCACTCTGCTCGACCCACAGCCACTCTCTCATTTACTCCATCTTTACCATAAAGACAGGGATGCTAGCTACTAAGAGTTCCTGAGCTGACTGAAATCCTTGGGAGTGTAGAATTCAGACTTACTCTTATTGCCATTTGCTTTAATACCAAAATTAATGACTTGATAAAGTTTGTTTTGTTCAAAGTTACATTCCAAATAATACCCCAGCCATGTAAACGTTTCTCTGCTGAAGATGTCCAAGTCCCTTGAAATAAACAGCCAAAGGGAAATCATGCCTGCACCCAATTAGGCTGTTCAGGCAAAAGGATGAAGGTAGCTGTAACGATAACTCTGTAGGGTGCTCTCAATGGTTAACTCATGCTGATCGGAATATTTAGCTAGCAATTTAATGATGTTGCTACTCTAATGGTTGTAAAATAGGGAACTTAATTAATGAGGACTTGATAAAGGTTGTTGACAAGTGTAATATTTTAAAACATGGGTTGGGGCGATCTGGGGATGAGAAAAAAGCATGGGAATAGTGACTCTGAAGTGTTAAAAAACTGCGGATCCTGTGGAAACCTGTACAATTCCCATGTCTGCAACAGAGCTGGCTCTTCTTCTCTTGCTTCCGTCACTACTAAAATGTGCCACTATGGCTTCCGCCGTGGTGCTCCCTTCCACTGTTTCTTTGTGAAACATGGACCACTTCCCTTGTAAGAGAGGGAAAGCAGCACCAAGTGTCTTGGTGGAGAAAATATCTACAAAGATTAAATTTGCATTAGGAAATGAATGTTAGTCTTTCAAATTTATTTTTGGGGATGGCAGAGGAGGAAAGCAACATGGATAAAAACGCTAAACCACAAGTAAATTTGTGGAAATTATATTTGTATAAAATGTTTTCCCCCTCTCCAAACCAAGATGATTAAGAAACTCTTTTAGCACTGTACACTGAAAAATTTGTTAAAAGGGTAGATTTCATGTTATGTGTGTGTGCGTTTTAGCCACAATTTTAAAAAGAAAGAAAAAAGAGAACACTCTTCTATTAAAAGTGGAATGTCTGAATTTCCTGAGCACACCGCAGTTGTTTACAAAGGGTCCTCGCATAATGAGTACTGAGTAGATGTGGGATCAGGGTGGTAGTCCTGTTTTGTAGCTAAACCACAGATAACAAGCTCATGAAAAATTAGAAGGTGGTAAGTCAAATGATCCTTCTCTGACCCATAATGTGGATCACTAGCGGGTAGGCTTCGAAGCACACAGACCATATAAATCTGGATGCAGGCTCCATGTTCCTCTAGGATGAGCATCCTTAAGCAACTTTCAGCGTAAGTTCTTACTGAAATACCTTAGCTTAAAAAAAAATGATTCTTTTCTAAAATTATCAGCTCAAATGTTAAACTTTAAAGGTCTCCCAGATTCCAGCATTATATGGAAAAGGAAAATGAGCTCCTTTGAACACAAATTTCTATCATTTCATTGCCATTCAAAAGCCCTGTGATTGGGGGGTCCGTGTCTTCCTTCCTTTCTCCACCCACCCCCTTACTCCAAAGTGAATACAGTTCTAAAATAAATTACCAAGCTCAAAAGACTGTGGTGCACCATGCTCATTTGATTTTTCCCTGACTTGACTAAATCAAAAAATTTAATTTCAAGAACACCTGTAAGCCCAGCAGAACTGCTGAGTTTAATTATCATACTGAGTTTCTTTAAAGACATTGACTTTTCTTTTCATATTCACTTTTTTTTTTTTTTTTTGGAGGAAAATGATTATGTCCCTGAAGCATTATTCATTATGCCTGGAAAAAAAGCATCTGGATGACAAAGGACAACCTTTGCTTCACTTACCTAGAGGAGGTCCATGTGTCATGAGTATGTCAATGCCCTCAGGGATGAGGTTCCACTTGTCCAGCAGAGACTGACCTCTGGGTAGGTTAAAGCCCCATCCATTAAACCACGGGGTCCTTTGGGGGAGATAATGCACATGGTATCAGGCCAGCAGAGCCACGGCTCTGCTCTGCAATATTTCTCTCTCGCACATTCCCCCACGGTTTGCATTGCTCTCTTTTCTCTTTTTGATGGTTGGCCCTGGCAGCAGGATGCTTTTTTGTTGACTGCTTCAAAACCAATCCATTTGAAAGCAAGCGTGGAGCCTACGAATTGTTCCACTAGAAAGGGGCACAGGAGCCTTTACAGTGGAGACTTTCCCAGCAGGCCTCTATCAAAATCTTGACAATGCTTTGTCTTCCCCCAAATCTCAGTGCTTCCTAAGATACCCAGCCCCGATCCAAAGCATTTCCACCCTTCCTGTAGTGCTTCAGAGCTAAGAAATTCTGCAGTACTCCTTCTCCCTCCCAATCACTGTGGAACTACTTCTCCAGAAAGATTCTCACTAAAGTCCTTGGAGAAATGGATAAGGGCTCTGATACAGACACCTCTGTCCATTGAGATGGTCTGAATACCCTGGAGTGACATTTCTGAAAAAACATGGGGGCTCTGAAAAGTGAGAAGGAACATAGTGAACAAAAAGTAAATATGAACTTTTCTCCTGCCACCAAAGGGAAGATTTGGGGACATCTTTGGTCACTCTGGAATCCACTCTCCTGACAACATGAGCCTTTTGCCATCAGAGGAACTTCTGCTCTAGGAATGAGTTTTTGAGACTGATGTTCCATGTAAAAGGGAATGGAGTCTTTGTCCATCCATTGAGCATTTCTAATTGGTGGTAAAAATGTCTCTACCATTTAAAATACAAGTAATGGAAGACTGATCAATTTCTCTCTGCAAATACTATAGTCTAAATCACATTAGAAGTACGTAGTTCCCAGTGTTATCGTATTCCCGAACATCTAGATCTTATCGGTATTCTTTAAAACTGTTCTCTTTTGTTCTGTGAGTAAATTCCAATTTGCCAAGGCATACTTGTAAAAGACAAGTTGATCAATTTTCTGGCCAAGTCAAACTTTCCTTTTCAGCTTAACCTGCCCCTTCCATGACAAACGAAAGAGGTGAGCCTGTGTATAAAGTGACCCTAACCTTGTCAGTCACAACTAATCAAATGGATTAAAGCCAGTCACTGGCCAGACTAAGCAGATTCTTTCAAGAATTTGAACGTAGAAACACTGACACAGCATTCATTTGGTGGTGGACATGTATAGTCAAGCCCAGAGGGAGAAGAATGGTCATTAAAAGCCATGCGAAAATCTGTGCAACAGGTGCAAACCTCAGTTCACACTGAGATGGTTGAGAAAGTTCCAGAGAGAAGAGACTGTGTGGCCTTAGCAAGAAAAGAAGAAACTAGGAAAGTATCAGACTTGCTTCCTCACCACTTTCCAAGTCCTTAAGCCATGCCCAAGGTGCTTACTTGTAATAAAAATATGAATATGAGAATAATACTTATTATAGCTATTATTTAATGCTTTTTCTGTGTCAAGGTACCATTTTCAGCACTTTATTTATATAAATTCATTTAAGCCTCACAACAGACTCATGAGGTGGGCACTATTATCATCTCTACTTTACAATGTGGAAACTGAGGCACAGAGAGGTTAGGTAAATACTATTAATAACTTGGCTATAAACCTAGGCAGATTGCTTCCAAAATCTTTACCACCATGCAATTCCTCTTCTTATATACTATCTGAATTAATTTACTCCTTGCTCTGGGTGAGACTTTTCTGTACTCTTTCAAGTTTGGACATCTTGTTGCTTGAAGCCTAATGATCTCTGAACTGGAATAATATATCAATTTCATGGTTCTGAAATCCAGTAATAACATGGTGGAATGAATACCTATTGCTTTTTCCTGTTCAGATCTTTCCCCCTTGTTTTGGTGACAACTTGTGAGTTTCCTTTGGAGAACCCCCTCCCTTTCCCACTCAATACATGTGCTTCTTGTAAGACTGACTCCATCCCTGCTCTAGAATGAGGTTTAGCGATATATATATATAAGCATACATGACCCAAGTTAGGTCAATGAGAGTCACCCTCAGGCTTTGGCATGTGCTATCTAAGAAGAGCTCATGGTTTTCTCTCTGGAATCCTGAGTTTTAAGACCTATGTGAGCCCTGAATTGCCTGAGAGCTATTTTATCTGTCCTATAGATAGCCCCAGCTTGAGAAACCATCACAAAGAAACCCATGGCAAAAAAAAGAGCGCTCTAATGATATTGTTGGACATGTGAATCCAGCCGAACTTGAAGCCAGTTGAACTTTTCCTTCTAAAAGCTGATAAAATCTTGTTCCTTTTATTAACTTTAGTTAGGTCCTCTTTCTTGAAACTTAAAACATCCTAATATATATAATTATTGTATGTACCTGAGGTCAGCAATAATGCCTCCTCCACTCCTAGATGTCCACATCCTAATATCTAGAACCTGTGAATGTTACTGTACATGGCAAAGGGAAATTAAGGTCACTGATGGAATTCAGCTGACCTGAAAATAGGAAGATTATCCAGGATTATCTAGGTCAGTCTAGTGTAACCCCAAGAGTCCCTAAAAGTGGAGGAGGGAGGTGGAAAAGAAGATCAAAGTGATGCAATGTGAGAAGGACTCAACCTGCTATTGATGGATTTGAAGACAAAAGAAGGAGACCAGGAGGCAAGGAAAGTGGGCAACCGGTAGAAGCTGGAAAACTTAAGAAAAACCCAGATCTTCCTATAGAGCCTCCACCAAAAAAAAAAAAAAAAAAAATACAATACAGCACTGCTGCCACCTGGATTTTAGTCCAGTGAGACCCACGTCAGACTTTTGATCAACATATTTGGAAGATAAATATGTGTTGTTAGAAGCCACTAAAGTTGCTGTGACTTGTTGGAGAAGAAATAGAAAACTGATACAGTACCTAAAATGTCTGAGCTGGCTATAAAATGCAGGGACCGGGAGTGGCCCTGTGCCTCGGCTGACATTTGGCACATGCTCAGTCAACACAGCCCATCCCAGCCACACTGCCTTGCTCAGCTAGATACAGTGCTTTTAAAGAGGAGAAGGCAGTGTTCTCTCTCTTCAATTTGCTTGGGAGGCACCTGGCATTGGAGTTCTGGGGATAATGCCAGGTATTCCCTTTTAAGAGTTCGATGAGTCGGTCTTTCTCTTTCTTGTCCTCTAAGATTCTCCACATTCAGGTTCTTAAACATTTTTACTGGAGTCTCAAATAGAGCTCTTCTAGTTTGGAATGCCCATCCTTCCCCTTCATTTTACAGTGACTCTCTTCTAAGGTTTGTCTTAAAAGTAAAAACAAAACAAAAAGGCAACTTCGAAACCCAGTGAAAACTCAGTGAGAATTTTGGACAAAGAGAGACAGAGAAAAATTAGTAAAAGCATCTATTTTGCTAGATTTTGAAAGCAAGCTTCTGGGCCTATGGTTCTCATCTGGATGTCTGATAAAGAAGGGTTTTAACAAGTCCCAAGCACACTCCAGTAGTTGGTACAACAAGAGGATCTGATTTCGCTGTCGGTGTCTTTCAGAGGACAGTCAACCTCTGAACCCACAGGACACCCAGGGGCTTCCAGAGGCAAAGGAACAGCACTTAATTTTTTCAGTCTTTCCAGTTTTCCCTTACAGAATTTTCTCTTAAAATCACACAGCCACATTCCCCCAGGAAATCCTCAGTTTTATAAGTGCTCTGTAAAAGATAAGACAAACGCACGGTCCATATTTATAGAGACCCCGAATTTCATTTGGTTAATGTTAAGCTTGTGACAAAATCCAGAAGTTTCCAAGTTAAGGGTGAAGTTTAAAAATGTCTGGCTTTTATTTTAACTCAGATCCGTATGTGTATGTGAAGTTGAGTAGTTATATTCCAGGAAAAAAAAAACAAAAAACAAAAAACATGTATCATGTCCTTGATGTGTGTTTATATACAGCTTTTACATAAATTATTGGATTTAGTTCTTTGCAGTAATTTTTAAGCTAGGTATTATCAGCTCTATTTTTAGTTAAAAACCTGAACATCAGTGATATCAAGTAACTTGTCTATGTTCCTAGAACCAGTAAGTAGTACAGCCAAAATCTGAACTCAGGTCTGCAGACTCCAAAGCCTGGGCTCTTCCCTTGCACAATGACAACCAAAACCGTACAGCCCAATTTCAGTTTTTGCTCTCACATATGTAAAATAAAAATAAGGCTGCTCCACGCAGTCTCTTAGTCTGTGTACTGTACAACTCCAAGAGGTGCCATGGAAATGAGGTGGCCCTCAGTAAAAACATAGTATGATATGGCCGTTCTGGGGGCTTTCTAGTCCTCTAAATCCTCTAGGTAAGACAGTGACACAAGTCAGTGGCAGGCAATGGGAAAAGTAGCCCACTGATGGATCCCAGAATTATTCCAGCATGGCATAACAAATGGGGCATACAGAAGTGAGGAGATGCGTGTGCTAGTTCTCATGCTGAAATTAATTCATTGACTCACTTGAATCTTAGGTTAGCAAAAGCTCCTCGCTGGTTCGATTTCCTCATCTGAGAAATGAATGAGTAGGTGGACTCAGTTACTGGATTTCAAGATTGCTTTTAGGTTGTAGAAATCTTATGCAGAAGTGCAATGCACAAAGCAGGCAAATGCAAAGGTGGGAACTGGGAAGAAGGGACTTAGGGCCTGCTCACTCACTCAGCTACCTCCTCCTTTTCAACCTGCACCTCTGAGCACAGCTGGCCAAACCTGGCACTTGATGATATTTCCCTGATCTAAAAATCCTGATATTTTATAATTCTGTGCAGATTACCCATGTTCTGAGTAATTGCAGTGAATTGCTCTCAGTGAGTTACCTAAACTGCTTATGAAGGACCAAGTACAGTGTGAGAGAAATATATAGAGAGCAGAGACTGAATGTGTCAGTACCAATGAATAATGCTTTATCCAGTTGAGTTTCAACCTGAAACATGAAACCCCAGCAGTGAGCCCATCAGGGGTTCACTGGAAAATATGTGCACAGCCAACCTCCAGAGCCCCACAATGGGTTTTGTTGT